CCATACCACCTCCATCTTAGCTGATTAGGGGTTCCTTTTCAGTAAAGTAAAATATGTTAGAGTTAGTCAAAAGAAATCAAACTCAGATTTTTTAGAAGCATGGTCTTCCCCAAGGGAAACAATGACAGTAATATTAATGGGTTCAAGAACATGATGATGCATTATGGAATGAAATGGATTAACGAATAAAATGCTGAGAATTCTCTCAAAAAAATATCCTCCGCAGGCTAAGAAGTTCTCATGTTAACGACTTCAAAGTGGTTCATTTATGTTGTGAATTTTATGCCAATTCAACCAGCAGTGGAACCTGCCAGAGTGTCACAGGGGGAGATGGCACAGCTGGGGAAGCCTCCTTCCCAGAGGAGGCCAGTGGAGTGATGGAAACATCAATGATGAGAATCATTGATTGGCTGCTTCCTGCCCTCGCTTCTCTGGGGATTGAGACTGCAACCCGGGCATGTGCCCTGACCAAGGAATCAAACCATGACCTCCTGGTTAATAGTTTGATGCTCAACCTCCCAGTCACGCCTGCTGGGCTGGAAAAAGACAGGGCACTTACGTCCATGACAACCAACAGCAAACTTGTCTCATCTCCAAAACCTGTGAACGCATTTGAATTCATCCCGTCCAGGTAGCAGGTTTTTAATAATTGTGTGCACTTCGCACTCCACACAGGGAAGAAACATGTATGAACGTCTGTTGTAAAAGAAAAAAAGACAAGATGTTGATGTAAGAAATGTCTAAACATGTAGGGAATGTTTATAAGATTTTATTGGAGCCAAACAGACTAGAACTGTTGAGGAGCAAGACCTTCAATTCTCCAGAGAATAACGGTTTGCAGCTGCATTTATGCATTTAAAGTTAGGAGGGAAGGTGAGGAGTGACATGGAGGTGGGGGAGAGCAAGGCAGGGACTGGATGCCAGGATAGTGAACAGGAGGGGCTCTCCTGAAGGTGGTCATGCTGATGTCAAAGGTGTGTTAACCCAGATGCACAGGAACAATGGACTGGGTGCTTAAGGCAAAGATGAGCCTTTTAGTAAAGAAGTCATAGGCCTGGGTGTGCCCACCCCCAGGACTGCCCAGGTAGGATGTGTGATCAGAGCCTCCTGTGCGGGTCCTGTCAGTCACTGAGTTTTGTCAGGTTTACGACAGAGCCCCCTTTTTGTTCACAAATCCTTAAAACTAGACCTAGGAAAGGGCATTCTGTGAGCTCTGTGGCTGATCTTCAGAGCAAAACTAATTTAAGACAGAGCAGGAAATGGTATCTTTGCTCAACTCTGCACTTGCTCTTGCTCAGTGCCCTGTGCTGGTCCTGGTCGCCCCCTGCTGGTCATGGACGCTCTGTGTAGCCCAGCCCTGCTGTCTCCTCAGGGAGGTTAGTGTCTGGGCTCACAATGACTTCCCCTCACTGTGTGTCTTGCGCAGTAATACACGGCCGTGTCCTCAGTGGTCACGGAGCTAAGCTGCAGGGAGAACTGGTTCTTGGACGTGTCTTTGGAGATGGAGATTCTTCTCTTGAGGGAGGGGCTGTAGTAATTATTGCTGGTACCAGATATCCTCCATCCATTCCCTGTCCACTCATAACATATGCTCCCCATCCACTCCAGCCCCTTCCCGGGGGGGCTGGCAGATCCAGTTCCAGCAGTAACCATGGGTTGTGATGGAGAATCCAGAGACAGCGCAGGTGAGTGAGAGGGTCTGCGAGGACTTCACCAGTCCTGGGCCCGACTCCTGCAACTGCACCTGGGACAGGACACCTGGGACAGAGAGAACACAGTGAGTCCTGGGCTCAGATGCAGGATCCCCATCTCCTCATGTAAGCCCCTGAGTCACTCACATCTGGGAGCAGGCAGCAGGAAGAGGAAGAGCCACATGGGACTCATGTCTTGCAGGTGAGGTCCTTGTTCCCCAGGAAGTATTCTCCAGGGTGAGGAGGCCCTGCATTTAAGTGGACACCAACTGTGTGTGTATGTCTGGTGGCCGTGTGGGCATTTGCATATGGGAGGTGTCTGCACATACAAAGGGTAAGAGGTGAGGGAGGTCCCAGTCTCTGGGGCTTCTCCTGGAAGGAGTTGCTGACTCCTTCAGAGAACCAGGCCCTCCTTGGGGTCCTGGTCACTGTGCCGAGGGACCTCTCCTTCCACACCAGGGGCTATGCTGAGGTGATCAGAAAGTAGGATGTGGGAAACTTCAGTGACTCCTTAGGTATAAAATCGACATGCCTCTGCTCCCATGGATATAGATAGATATAGATATAGATATTGATTTAGATATATGTATAGTTTAAATGCAGATGTATTTGTAGATATCAGTCTAGGTAGATATAGAGATTGTTTTCTGTATCCTTACTTGATGATTTTTTCACTGATTTTTATAGAAATGGAAAGGAGATATATATATACATATATATATATTATATATGTATATATATATAGAGAGAGAGACAGAGAGAGAGAGAGAGAGAGAGAGAGAGAGAGAGAGAGAGAAACATTGATGTGAGGTAGAAATATTGAACAGAGCAAGATGGTGAGAAAGAGAGAAACATTGATGGCAGGGAACATATTTATCATTTGCCTCCCATATCTGCCCAGGGTGGGAATCAAACACACAACCTTGTCATTTTTGTTTTAATATATGTTTTATAGATTTCAGAGAGGAAGGGAGAGGGACAGACAGATAGAAACATCAATTATTAAGGAGAATTATTGATCATCTGCTTCCAGTGTGGTTACTACTGGGAATCAAGCCCACAACCCAGGTATGTGCCCTGACCAGGAATGGAATCATAGGTCGAAGCTCAACCTTTGTGCCACACCAGCATGGCTTCATTCTGTTTTGAAATATATTTTCAGTTAGTTTAAAATTCAACTTTGATGGCTACTCTATTTTTCTTCAGCATTTAAAGTCCCCATCTGTTGCAGGAGGTTCATGTTCAGGAGATCAGACGTCCCATCTGACACTGTTTCCCTTACAAAGTGATCAGAGGATAAACTAAGACCAGAGTGTGAGCCTAGAGCCAGTGGACCAAGTGTTGGGGAGACAGGAGCGTCTGTGCGGGTCCCTGGGCACCAGAAGCATGAACTTGAGAGACACAGACAGAGCTCCTGGGTCCTATTCCTTCAGGGCAGTTTGGTGCTGGACGTGTAGCAGCTGCATGGCCTCCTTTGTGGTGTTTATTCTCTAGATCAGGGGTGTGCAACCCCTGGTACACGTGCAAAAAATGGCATGTCAGTAACATTTGCTGAATAAAGTATTCTTGGTTGTAGGTTCTTGGTATTCAGCACTTTGAATATTCATCTTCTGGACGTTCTTTCGGAACTTCCTTCCAGACAAAGCCATGGTGGCAGGGGCTGAGACAGAGGTGGTAAGGGGTGATCAGGTTGGCAGGGGAGGGCAGTTAGCAAGCGACCAGGCCCACAGGGAACAACAATTAGGGGGTGACCAGGCCCTCAGGGAAGGGCAATTAGGAAGTGACCAGGCCAGCAGGGGAGGGCACTTAGTGGGTGAGCAGGCCAGCAGGGGAGGCAGTTAAAGGGCTATAAGTCTGGCAGACAGAGGCAGTTAGGGATGATCAGGCAGGCAGGCAGGTGAGCGGTTAAGAGCCTGCAGTCCTGGGTTGTGAGAGGGATATCCTCTGAGGGGTCCCAGATCTGAGAGAGTGCAGGCTGGGCTGAGGGACACCTGCATCCTCCACTCCCCATGCATGAATTTTGTGCACCGGGCCTCTAGTTTAATTATAAAAAGTCTTGATGTGAATCACTGATATGAAGGAACAGATATAGAAAAATCATTTTTATATGAAGAGTATTGTTTTTCTCTGTCCATTATTACAGAATGAATAAATCACCCAGCTAACCACCTGTTACTGGAGCTGATTTATCTAATGTCATAAAAACCTGGTCAGCCATGGTGGCTCCACCTTGTTTTCACCATCAGGGTCTGTGTTCATGTGGACACGTGACCTAGTTCTAACCAGGGAGCAGGAGGGCATGTTGGGCTTACCTGCTTCATCAAGAGCTCATTTCAGAGGCACCATGTCCACCCTCTCCAGTGCCTACTCAGGTCTGCATGTGGCCTTTGGCAGTGCCCTCACCATGTCCGTACATGATGGGCAACCCCGGGACCTGAAGCCCATTCACTGGATAGACCATGTGCAACACGGGAAGAGCCACCCTGAGCCTGGAGGGGAATTACCATGGACAGCAATTCACCACGTCTGAGCAGGCACACCTCCTGGATCGTCCCTTCATTGTGTTGTGATTTCCTCATTGTCTATTCAGTTCCATTTGCCTCTCTCTTTTCTGAAATAGCCACACATAATATCTTAAGTCCTTCAGGAAAGAAAGCATTGGCTTGAAGATTAACCCAAGTTCCAGGTTCCAGGTGAGGTCCAAACTACTGTGTCATCCATCCCAGAGAGACAGGTGTCATGGCTGAATCCCAAACAGATTACCATGTGCTCACACAAATGCACACTCACAATCTCACAGACACAACTCCCAGCTCCCAGGAAGGAAACCCGTCCCCAGGTTCCTGAGGGGCCCCAGAGGCCCTGACTCTCAGGGGACTGTGATGGCTGGACCCTGACCTCAGGAATATCTGGGTTCTCATCACTGGGGCCTGTGGGTGTCCTTATATGACAGAACTTTGCAGATGGTTATGATGGGAATGATGGAGCTAAGAATGCTGATGTGGGGGTTACCCTGAGCCATCTGCTGGGACATACCTGTAGCCACAAGGGTCCCCTTCAGAGGAAACAAAGGCAATCAGACCAAAGGTTTTGTGATCGTTGAAGCCAAGCAATCAGACCAAAGGTTTTGTGATCGTTGAAGCCAAACTTTGGGATGGGTTTGCACATAAACTTGAGTGAATGAGGACCAGGAGGGAAGTGTTTGGTAGGGAAGACCGAGAGCTGTGGTGGGAGGTCCTGGGGGATGATCACCATTGTGGTGGCCCAGGTGGGCCTGTCAGAGGGAAACGTGGGGACAGAGGCCTGAGGTCAGCACACAGGGGCCTGGGCTGCACTGGGGTCCATCTTGGTGGGAACGTTTCCCAAACCCAGGAAAAGGAGAGCACTGAGGATGGTCTCCTTGTGGAGAAAGAGAAATAGAAAACACAGAGACTTGGTGAAGGAGAGTCCCCACTCCCTGCCAACATGTCACCTGCAAACACATGTCCCTTCTTCACTGTTTTCTGCAGTGAGAACATGAGAAGGAAGAGCCATCCCTGGAGGCAGCTGAGAGGTTGAGAGGAAATCCCTGTGCCCAACAGGAAGGCCTCTCACTCCCCACCTCCCTCTGCCCCTGCTCCTGAGGCTGCTCTCTGTGCTATGGGTCCTGAGCGCCCCCTGCAGCCCAACCCTGCTGTCTCCTCAGGGAGGTTTGTGTCTGGGCTCACACTGACTTCCTCTCACTGTGTCTCTTGCACAGTAATACACGGCCGTGTCCTCGGCTCTCAGGATGCTCATTTGCAGATACAGCGTGTTCTTGGTGTTGTCTCTGGAGATGGTGAAGCGGCCCTTCACAGAATCGGCGTAGTATATGTAACTACTACCAAAACTATCAATGTAGTGGTATGCGACCCACTCCAGCCCCTTCCCTGGAGCCTGGCGGACCCAGTTCATGCCATAGTCCCTGAAGGTGAATCCAGAAGCTGCACAGGAGAGTTTCAGAGACCCCCCAGGCTGCACCAGGCCTCCCCCAGACTCCACCAGCTGCTC